ACTTTCTGCGTTTTTAGGGGTCTGGCTTTTTGGGACTTTGTTGCGGGTCCACTCATGTCAGGCATTAGTGGTGCAACAAAAACTGATTTGAACCAAAGAAAACAAAACAAAAACAATCTAGGAGGCACGCCAAAGCTTTCGTCGGCTTGGTCACTCCATATGAAAATGGATGACTTCCTGTTCCTGTGTGTTTTGTGGCATGGGTTTTTGACACTTTTTTTGCAGGTCTAGGTAGACCTGCAAATTTCATGTTGAAAAAGTGAAACCTGCCTCCAGGGGGAGCTACATGGGCCCTTTTGGGGGTTGATGCTCACCACAACTACCAAATTCACATTTTCACCCCTGCAAAATGTTTTTTGTTTTCACTTTTGGTAAAGCCTGGAAAAAAAAAACAGCCCTAGAGGCATTTTTTTTTTTTTTTTTTTAAGTAGAAGGCTGTAAAGACAAAAGTTAGTTGTCCCCCCCGCAAATCCGTTCCTTTTTAATCAAGCAAAGCAATTTATCCTCAAGTTCTCACGCAGAAAGCACGTTTGTTGGCAAAACAAAGTGAATTTACATGAGGGAGGCGTGTGACCTTTAAACTGTACTTTTGCATTCAAAACAACTGATCTGCATTGCCGATTGTGTTCCCGTTTCTCGTAACCGCTCAGAGGTGATATTTAATTAGGAAAACAGATTCTGTTGTCATGACGACTTCGCATGTTTAGTGTAAGCAACGCGGGCTATTGTCCTTCGTCAAAGTAAACATGCAAAATATTGGAAGGCACAGCGAAAAAGATTTTGTTTTGATTTTTTTCAAAGGAGTTTTGTTACTTTTGTTTACTCTTTTTAAAATTCTCATAACAGCACACAAGCTTTTTTTTAATCACCTTGCCATCTGCGAAAATGGCTAACATGTAATTAAGCATAAAAATGTTCAACCAAATAAATCATTCCCTACCAAGAACAGGTACATATTATGCGTCAAACAAAAGTTTTGTCTTGGCACGTTTCGGAATAAGTTTTGGTACAAAAAGCATTTGACTTGTATCATGAAGAAAAACTGAAATACTCTAACAGCTGCTTGATCAAATATCAAATTTTTGTCGCCAAATTTCAAGCCTGGACCCGAGCCAACTAAGTTGGTATTGATGTTAAAGTTACCTGAAAATTGCGTGATTTGATTGAATTTCAGTCTGCCATGTTTTTGTGGATGATCATGTTTGATGGAAATTGTACACTTTTAATATTAGGAGGACAATAGGAAAAAAAAATAGCCTACGGTCTGGTGACTGCCTAAAGAACAAGAAAACAACTTACTAAAATATATTGAACTGAACGGGATTTTGTGCAAAAAATATTGATGGGGTGCTTACAAAAGTTTAATTTTTGCTCCAATTTCAATAAAAATACCACATATGTAACCACTAGTGGCCAAATATCCTATTTTTTGGAGCATAATATTGTGTTTTAACTCCGCTGCTACAGCTGCAAACACAAAGTGTATATTTTAAAATATCGACTTCAACTTTTTCTCCCATTTTTAGACTTCCAAGCCAACTTTGGTATGTTTTAATGAGATTTCTGGACCAGGAGAGATATTTTGAGGGCATTATTATTTACCTTTATCTATTTGACTACACGGCCTTCTCATTACACTTTAATAAAACAGTCGCTGCTTGAATAAAAGATGGAAAATGTCAAGTCATTTCCCTGATAACTCACTTCGTCTTCCAGTTTTCTTATTTTTATGTGAGAATGCAACGCCACAAACAAAGAGCAGCGGGGTACTTTTTGCACGAGTGGCGTCTTGTTTGTGCGTTTCTGTTGTTCACATTTCAGTCTCGTCTCCTCATAGTTTGGCATTAACGTAGGGCAGAAGAAAGAAAGAAAGGGAAAAAAATAACATCTGTTTCCGAGCCTTCTTAATCTCTTCTATTAGCAGCGCTCTGCTCCCACGCGTTCCCTCAAGGCTATCGGCGGGTCCTTAAAAGGGTCTTAAAATAAATGATGGAGAATTAAGGACTTAAAATATATCAGCATTGGCTACGGCAAGTTCATCGTTTGTGTTTGGAGTTTTCAGGAATGGGGGGATTATTCGTCATCCCCGTATCAGCTTTAATAACACGGCGAGGCTCAATGTCCCGCAACAATTATTATTCCGATTTGATTTATTAAAGACGAGGTGGCGCCTGCTGCAGAACTATTAGTGACTCCCCTAGAAAAGAGAGGAATTTGTTTTTTTTCTGGATGTGTGGCTTTGAAATGAATGCAAATTAAAAAAGGAATTAAGGGAATTTCAACTGACTTCCATGAATTGATGTGACTTCAGAAGAATACGAAATCCAGAAGGTTCTACAAAGCGTCATCAACTTTCACAGCCATGGTCCGCCCGTGCGCTATGGGGAAAACTCTTGTAAATTCATGGTCCCTTATTCATGTGGTTAAAATTTGGCTGCAATTGGATAAAATCTCAAAGGATGAGTTTGTCTGGCCTGGAAATGAGCAAAATTACCCAAATAATAGTTGCTTCAAACCAGAATGGCAGCCTGTCTGTGTCTTTTCGAGCATGGTTTCTTTCGACTTTTTTGTGGGTCTACTCATGCCTGCCGAATTTCATCCTGCTAGGTTAAACTTGCTTTGGGGGCCTGTTTTTTTTTGTTGTAAAGTTCTAATGGGAGATACCGGGACAAAATGGCCACCTTTTTATGCTTTCCTGAGACGATTTTGTGATAGGCTTGTGTTGATAGGCTTACCAAATTTTATCATGCTAGGTCAAATCGGTTGGGTGGACTGAATTGTTTTGTCGAATTCTAGTAGGTGGTACAGAGCCCAAATGACCGTCTCAAATCAATATGGACAACTTCCTGTGACTTTTCGGGCATTAATTCTTGAGGAATTTTTTTTTATGGGTCTAGTTATGGTTGTTGACATGCTGACCAAATTTCATGTTGCTACGTCAAACTGGTTTTGGGGAAGAATTTTTCAAACCAAAATTCCTGTGTTTTTTTGGGCTGGGTTGCTTTTTTGTGGGTCAACTCATGAAAGACATCGCTGTTGAATTTCATGCCAATATGTGAATTGCAGAAAAAATGGAGGCACTCACACTGACATTTTTAGTGGTTTGAAATGTATCCAAATGAGACGCTAATTAAACATCTGATTCAAATGATGTAAGGCGATTGATTTATGACCTCGGTTGCTCATCGCAATTTTGATCAATCAAGGCTGACGCCGTTTTTTTAATTTATTATTATTATTCTTTTTTTGAACAGCACGCCATCCGTCACCGATGCTCGGCATGACAACCTCGCGCTCGCGGCATTAAAGCGGCGCAATCACGTCTTTCAAAAAAGAAAATAAAGTACACCTAAAAAATAACATCCATCATCCTGTCAGGGGTTATTTATCTCCGTCTGTGCTTCGCCCGTCCCTGCGACTCATCATGTGTTGTCTTTCGCCTCGCGCCCGCCTCCCGTCGTATTGTCGTTTTGCCTCGACGCCAAAACACGAGAGGAGATGTGGTGTGAGCGCTGGTCTTCTTTGCATTAGTCCTCAAATTATTTTCCGGTTTATCACACTTTAATATCAGATAAATACTCAAATAAAATGACTAAAATCTGAAATTCCTGAAATTTAGCATCACCCGTCATCGGATATCATTTCAAATGATGTCTTTTGATATCTTTGCTGTTGCTTTTTTATTTTTATACAATGTTGACAGTGACTGATTTTTAATCTTGCATGCAAAGAAATGATATAAAGGATGGAGGGGAGTTACTTGTATGATCAAAAACCGAAAATTATTCTAACCTTGTCTTCTACTGGTTGTAAAACATACTTGGTTTATATATTCGTGTACGGTCATGCTTTGGCGAAAATTAATTTCAGCCGCAGTGAATGAGTGCAATTTCATGGTTTGTCATGAAAGGATCTGGCTGAAATTTCTCAAAATGCCAAATTCTGTGAATTTGGAAACTCCTCAAAGCGGCGATTCATTTGGCCTCCCCGGATTATTTGAGCGGGTGCAGGTAGAAGCGCGTAAGCAGCGACAGATGATGGCGCGTGAAAAGGGTGCGTTATGATAAAGTGCTCTCGGTGGGGGGGGCATAATGAGACCGAATAATTACAACGTCCCGCTCCACGAAATCTGCGTGTATGAATTACGACGGGCGTCGTCATCTGTTGGCCGTCATCTTTTGCACTTTTAGTACGGCGCATTTTCCACAAGCGAAAGGATCTGGCTGAAATTTCTCAAAATGCCAAATTCTGTGAATTTGGAAACTCCTCAAAGCGGCGATTCATTTGGCCTCCCCGGATTATTTGAGCGGGTGCAGGTAGAAGCGCGTAAGCAGCGACAGATGATGGCGCGTGAAAAGGGTGCATTATGATAAAGTGCTCTCGGTGGGGAGGCATAATGAGACCTAATAATTACAACGTCCCGCACCACGAAATCTGCGTGTATGAATTACGACGGGCGTCGTCATCTGTTGGCCGTCATCTTTTGCACTTTTAGTACGGCGCATTTTCCACAAGCGGACTTTCAATCCGGTCCTCATTTGTCGCCGCGTCCATCTCGGCTCGTCAGCTGTCTCCAAAGTGGAGAGCAACCTTGAGGGGTTTTGGTTTGCTATCGCGCCGGAGAGGAGGCTCATTTTCTCATTTCTGTCTACTCTCCAGTGGCCTTCAAAAAAGTTCCTGTCTGGACTTTTCTCTCTCGCCTCTCTGAGAAAGGAGGGCCTGTTCTTGGAAAAGTTTTTGTTACTTTTCCCCCTGGCTCGCTCTTGCTCTCAAATCTGTGGTGTAGAAGCAATATTCACCAGGATGAATATTTTTCAAAACACTCCAAAACAGTGTAGTGGTTTCCACAGCTGTTCATATCACTTGGATGGCACATATTTTTGGTTAACTTCCAATATGATACCAAATCTGCATTTTAAGGGTCATTGAAAACACACTGGAAATTTCCACAAGGGATCTCCAAAACACATACCTGGTATTGAGTGTAGTGGTTCACATACCTCTCTTCTCGCCAAAGTAAAGCGTCTGCTGCGCCGTATTGGACCACTGCAGTGACGAGTTGTCGCTCTCGGCCACCCGGCAGGTCAGTGTGACGGCTCCGCCCACCGAAACCGTCTCATCAGAGGTAACGGGCTGTAAGGGGTCGTCGTCTGCATGGGACAAAGGAACTCGTCAGGCTGTGTGAATCGTTACGGTAACGTGCAAAACAAAAACATGTCAAGTCTCAACAAATGCAAAAGAGTTTCAATGGTGAGTTGGTACCCGGAAACCAGATTGAAGCCCTACCCTTGCTTGAAACTGTATAATATCTTCAACCTTAGCTCTGACCTACTGGTCTGCATGGGACAAAGGAACTCGTCAGGCTGTGTGAATTGTTACGGTAACGTGCAAAACAAAAAATGTCACGTCTCAACAAAAGCAAAAGAGTTTCAATGGTGAGGTGGTATCCGGAAACCAGTTTGAAGTCCTACCCTTGCTTGAAACTGTATATTAGCTTCAACCTTAGCTCTGACCTACCGGTAGTTGAAACCCTAAATTGAAGCCTTAAGTTTGGCTTGAAACCGAAATTTGAAACTTGAATCCTACATTGAAACCCTAATATTGGCTTGAAACCTTAATTAAAAACCTCCAACGCTAATTACGAACCCTAACCCTGTCTTGACACTGTAAAAGGAAATACTAACCTTTGCTTTAAACATTTGAACACTGGTTTGAAACCCTAATTCCGGTTGGAAATCCTGACCCTAATCCCGATTTAAAACCCTAACCCTGAGTTGAAGCCCTAATTTGAAACCTCAACTCAGTCTTGACATCCAAATGTGAAACTCAAAACAGGACACCACTCCAAATGTTATTGTTGAGTGGCCTTGGCTGAGGTCTCGGTGGCCCCTTTTGCTTTTGGCGCCACCTGGCGAGCGTGCGCCGTGAGCGGCATGTGAGAGAGAAAGGCCGCAGTGTGAGGGAGCCGAGCGGCTGAGACGCGGGAGGCCTCACTGGGGGGAATGTCAACGAGAGCGCATAATGGCGACCATTCTGGAGGCACCTGGAAGGCCTCCATGAGGACCTGAACGCCGTACCCTGGGAGACCGAAAGCCCCGTCATGCATTCACATGTGAGAGAGGGAAATGATCATGTCAAATACTGTGCTGGCGAGTCATAATAATAAGAATTCCCCTCCCCCACATCCTCCCCCTCTCCATCTGCCCACTCGTCCTCACCCGCTCTGTCGCTCTTCACCTCCTGTTGAGGCTCCTCATCCTGTGCGATAACGCCGCGGTACAAGCCTGTCATCTGATTGGACGATAGCGGGCGGATGATGAGTGTGTGTGTGTGTGTGTCTTAAGGGGTCCCACTGCCCCCCCCCTTTCATTTTATTATGTGTCTGAGTTTGCATGCAGGCTGTTTGTTTTACACCAAGAATTTATCAGCCAGTGGAGAGGTGCATCTGGCTGATTTATGAGCCTCCTTCTTCTTATCTGCATTGAGGTGTGTGTGTGTGCATCTGCGCGCGTGTGTGTATGTGTGTGTGAGACACTGATGATGACGATGATCACGATGATGATGGTAGAGGTAAAGCACGAGGAAGACAGCCGGCCGGGTCCGGTCCGATGTGTTTGATATGGCACTCGCGCCCGCGTGTGTGTGTGATACGAGACATTACGCACACGCACGCGAACACACTCACAAGCGTATATTCACACATGAGTAAACGTATGGGCAGCACACAAATGTGTGCACAGAGGTAGAAAAAAAAAACCACATACAGGTACAAATAGCACAGAAAATGAGGTTCTTTCACACATATGTGCACACACGCACGCATACATGCACACGCGCACAAACAAGTAAGCTCGTTTGCACAGATTCTAGCCAAACACACACACACACACACACACACACCCGGAGAGTAATAAATGGGAAATGTAAGGATATGAGTA